TGTTTATTTTTATTTTATTATTATTATGTTCTGCTTCTGGAGGCACTATCTTTTCAAAGCTGTTAGCTGAGATACTGAACTCTCTCTGAAGCTTAACCTACTATCAATTTATCAATACCATTTTTCAGATTGTTAGTAGTGACATCTATAATAATATTCACACGTTGGTAAATTGAAAGGTTTTCCAAAAAGCAACTATTTTTACCTAACTAACAGAAAATACAAGACAAACTATGGCAAAATAGCACGAGAACACTGATCTACCTTACACACAATAAGGAGGAGTAATTTAAGCCATGGAATTAAGAGTGTCTTATGGAGCCAGCATGGACTACAAAGCATCAGGCCCACAAAGAACAGTTTCTATAGCTCTCCAGATCCCCTGCACAGCCCCTGATAAACCTGCAACATTGTACTGCAACAATTTAGCTTCAAGAAACTTAAGGCATCAAGACAACATTGTTTATCTACACAATTAATTCCAGACATAAACAAGAGAGGAAAAGCTTGCAGTGTAACAGTCCCTACATCACTGTTGTGGTTCACTTAGCAAGGAGAGCCACCCTTTGTTTTTCTGCTAGCAGAAAACCAAGCTGGACACCATCCACGACTGAAAACCCAAACACCTTAAAATAGTGTCAAATAGATGAAAACACCACAATTCATGCAATCAAGGGACCAATCTTTCACATTTGATTTTGAAAATATTGTTTGTAATTCAAAGACATTTTTAATCATGCTCTAATGAAGAACAAAGAAAAATGGGAAGTTTCACACACCAATGAGTACTTCAACTTTAAAGCAAGACCTCCTACACAAGAGAAAAAGGCATTTGTGATCAGCTCACATAATATTTTTTCACCTTTTTCCCTGACAGTATTTAGAAAGATAATAAAAAAAAAAAAAAAGATAACAATCTTAAAACAGACTGAGAAGACTGTCTGGTAGTCTCATTGCATATTAAATGTGCTGGTATTTCTTAAAAAAAAAAAAAAAAAAAAAAAAAAGACTTCTTCAACAATTTCCCCTGGAACAAGTGATCAAAAATCTAAAGATTGAAAGAAATATGTTAATGACTTGCACTTTTGGATAAGTAAAAGAAAAGAACAAAAATTAAATTCTATGGATGTCTTCACATGTGATCTTGCAAACGGCCTTATATCTTCAAACAAACAAACAAAAAAAAGCCCACAACACAAAACCAAAAACCAGAAACTCTCCAAAAATCAACATTCCACCACACAAATATGTAGCTTCACTACTGAACTGGCAAAGCTTTATGGGCCGATTCAGTTTCTGCTTTCATCAGTCTGATGTGGCTTCTACAAGTCCTCAGCACATTCACATTAAGTGTTTACCTATTTCTGAAGCACAATGGCCGTGAACAGCTTCCAACTCATCCTACCTGTCACTCCTAAATATTTTTGTGACTTTGGTAAGTGACTCACAGTTTGCATACTGGTTCAAATTATATGAGGAATGTACTAAAAAATCCAGCTTTCAGTATTAGCACATAAAGCAACGCAGATTCCAAAATAAAAATCAACAAGTGAACAGGTTCACTTGCAAAGCAATTTACAATGCTCTTAACACCAAAAACTTGCTGTTATATTTTAAGCCTTTAAAGAAATTTGACTAATCAAAACCACTCATCTATAATCAAAAGCAACTTTTGATGAAACATCAAAAATACACTCCGTAAGAAAAATATCTATCTATATATTATGCTTTTTTAATTATATACATATATACAGAATTAAGAGGCATATCTTCATTCACAGCTTCTAGAATGAAATGTCAAATGTACTTTTTTTGGTTTACCATCCTTCTAGTTGGAAGTGTCCCTGCCCATGGCAGGAGACTGAAACTAGATGATCTTTAAGGTTCCTTCCAACCCAAACCATCCTGTCATCCTATGATTTAAAAAACAAAAAATAAAGGAAAACCAACCAGCAACTGAATACAGGAAGATAACACCACATTTCTGATCAGTATTTCAGTTTAGTTTCTCCTGTAAGTTTTCCTGGTCACTTCTGTAACATGAAGTATTCTCCAATCATGCCTGAAAATGTTCAATTACATTTTATGATTAAACAAACTGACTGGATATTCTTCCAAAAAGTTATTGTAATTTTGAATTGAGATATTCATGATATTGTTTAATACTTAGTATATACTAATACTAAGTATATAGCTTCTACGATATTGTTTTAAACTATGCAATGCATAGAAAAAAGACATAAAATATAAAATTATGAAAAGCTAAAGCAACTGCACTTCCCAACAATAAATATAACTAACATCTGTTGCAGAAAGTGCTTGGCAGTTGTACAGTTTTGTGAAGGATTTTTGTTGCAGATAAATATTTTTCTACAATTCCTATTACACACAACTCCACTCAGACATTTTCTTTAATTATACTCCAAGGGGTCCTATCATATCCATTAAAGAAAGGCAATTTGTTGTCTAAAAGAATGCATACATAATTTTAAATTTCAACTGTGATTCATTTATCTTACGACACACAAAAAAGCATGAAAATACCTAAACTTAATGCAGTTCAGAAAAAAAAAATCTAGTAAAACTGACAGTGCTTAACAGATTTTCTTTATTAAATTTTTAAAAATGCTCTTTTAGGAATAAGAAATGGTGATATGATGAGTCAGCATTTTCCTTTCATGTCAGACCTCACTAATGAGGACAAAAGCAAAACCTCTAAGAAAGCAAGAAATTTCTATTTCAACATCTGCAAATTGAGTAAGACTCCCACTTTGCATTCACAGCAAGCACGTGACATCATTTTTTCAGGGACAAAATACCAGGAATAACTTTGTGACAGCCCCTTCAGTTCAGAATACCTTTTTTTTCCCCACTATTCTTAAGTAAAAAATTCACAGACATACACCTGACGATACTGGATTTTTTTTTCTGAAGATATGCATTAGATGTGTGCATTTAACAAAAATATTGTATTCAGCATTTCATACAAACTCAAAGTAGCAATCAAGACCTGTTTGCTATAAGTATAAACAAAGATTTTTTACAAGCATTCAGTAGAAGTGTATTTAAATACTGCTGAAAGCATATAAAGATCTGTTACTCCACTGATATCAAACAACTGGTAATGTTGTAGAGGGAGAAGGAGAGAAAGAGGGTACTGTCAATAAAGAGAAGAAACATTACCTCTAAATACACAAAGGATATGGTATATCAAAAGTCTACCTAAAGGGGCTCAACTGCAAAATTAAGAGTTACATCTATAACTTGCCATAGCATACAGCACACGGCACAAAGACATCGTTCCTCTCCCATATTCACTTTTCATATGAAACCAGAGAAGGAACATTTCTTAAACAAGATTTATAACCAAACTTTCAATTAACATTAAACCCAATAGGGCCATTTCAAAAAGAAAAACCAATAAATGCTTGAAAACAGTTAAATCATTAAAAAATATATCCATTGATGGAAAGTAACCTGTACTACTCTACGAAAAATAGTAAAATCTAAATAACTTGGGCATATTTGAAGAACTAAATGAAAGCAGTCATGTATTAGGATAATGTCATTTTTCAAATGAAAGGCTGAGGAATATATGGTTTGTTTTTACCTTGCACAATAAACTAGAATAAATTAATAGCTTGATATATTAAAATCCACATTGCATTTCCTCTAAATATTCATTACTTCTTCCAACATCCACATTTAGGTGAACAAGACCTAGAATTGTAGATTCAATCTCTGCATCATTTCAGCTTACTTTTTTATGCAACTTAAAGTCCAAATCCTTTTTTTTTTTCTCTCTTTTAAACACAGAATCTTGGAGGAAAGGATCAATGATTTAATACAGATTTTTACATTTTAATTTACACAATTTTCACTTACTTTCTTCTTCTCTTATTAAAAACATCATTATTTACGTTTCTCCTACTTAACACATAATAAACTTAACTATATTGTCTCTTTTGGCAAAGAAAGCATAAAGCAGCAGAGAAAGTACATGCAAATATACTGCACAAATAGCAGTTATCCTACAGATGATAAAAGTTTTGCATCAAATCAAATATTCATTTTTCAGAAATATCATATTTTAGACAAAGATGTACACATAAGAAAAGACGAATTTCACATACTGATTAGCAACACAAGAAAGTGTTGAAACAGTTTTGACTCTGACGTATGAAAAACACCACTCACAGAACAAACAAGATTTCACATACAATCTTTAATATGAAGAGTTCTTTAAATGACATAGTTATGAACAGAATGACACAACAGAATCTTAATTTCTTCCTACAACTTCAGAAGAAGAGCTTTTCAAGAAGAGTAAGTAACTTTCAGCATTTCCTCAATTTCATTAGAATGTGTGAAAGAACAATTTTTCAGAAACTTAAGAACAAAAGGTACACCAAAAAGAAGAATTCTGTAATTTACTATGTGATAGCTAGAAATTAGACAAAAACATTACTGTTTAAAAAAAGAAAATCAGAACAGCTCAAGAACTTCACAACAGGAATTGCACCTCTGCTCTCACTTCGTTACATAAAACTTAAGAAAAAAAGCTTTTACGTAAAGGCTACCCATGGCTGCAAACAGTCTATTGCTTTAAGCAGTTGCATAGAATAGAGTAATGGGATACTAGAAGATTAAACTAATAGGGGAAAAAAAAAAAAAAAGCAAAACAACAACAAAAAACACTGTCCCAGCAGCTTTTGATAAGAGTAGTTAAAACGTCTTTTCTCCCTTCAGCGAAATACAGCGAAAAAGCAGAACTGTGTTTGTATCCAAGTATTACTTGTTTGTTTTCCAGAACAACTAAGCCTGTATAGAGTGCATTGGACTAAATTCTTAGGGGCAGGGGCTGTTCTTGGTCTGTGTATTTACAATGAAGGCTAACTGAGGCCAGACCGTAACTAGGATGTCTGGGTAATAAGTAATAATGGGTCAGTGGTGTGCAGACAGTAAATACAAACAGGCAAGATGCTGCCACGTTCACATACCTCTTGTACGGAGCGAGCTGCTGGCTTGTCTTGATGATTGGCCAGTATTAAAAACGGCAAAGTACATAACTGTGGGTGCTGGAGAGCTGAATGCAGTTCATTCCTAGCAGTTTCTAGGTCATCTTCAGAGGAGGCACTGTCTAATACAAATATTACCCCTTGGGATCCTTGGTAGTAACGACTCCAGTATTTCCTGATATTGTCAGCCCCTTTCAAGACAGTAATAAGAGCTAATTAAAATAAATATAATTAAACAGTCTTAACACTTATAAGCAAAAATAACCCTTCTACTTAGAACAATCAAAGCAATCTACTAAATTTTCTCTCATAAATATACATTAAAAAAAGCAACCATAAATCCAGGACACACGTACACAAACACAAACATAGAAACTAACATCGTTTAAATAAGGAAAGAATGTGACTCAAGGCATTGAAAGTTTCTGCTCCATAAACAATTACTGGCAGAACTACTACACTTTCAATGCTGGCTGGGCTAATCCCATACTTTCTCACTGAAATATACTGATAATAACAAGTAAACAGGACATCCTTTGCCCATTTTTTTTTCCTTAGCCATGTAGCTTAACCTGTGGTTCCAGTCATGTCAGTTGTTCATTATTAAGTATGGTAAGGTCTTTCAGTTCACCCCCAAACCATCAAATACTTCATAATCAGTGAAAAAAGGTGTTAGGGAAACCTTCTAAAGTTACAATTACACATTTAATGAGGAAAATGGTGATACAGTAGTGAGTTGAACAGGGAATGAGGAGATAGGGTGACAAAGGTATTTGCAAAGGTATTAATTTCAACTACTTTTACTGTCTCAGCCACATGACAGATTCTGGAAGAGCCCAACACTAGACATGTGACTGACTGTACAGGCTTATGTGCCACAGTAAATTTTAGGACACAGTTCAGTGGCACTCAGCCAACTCAACAGAAGCCAAGCAATAAGGTTATCTATAAAGCTTTTGTCTCCCCTGGAGAGCAGCATATGTTGTAACACTGAGGTAGGAAAAAAAATTATTTGACAGCTGTCAAACTATCTAAACAACAATTTGGACATAGGCTATTCTTTGAATGTCTGAATCTGGCACTACACTCATGGGGACTACCATTAAAAAGTGAACAGCAACAGCAATACTGTAGGAGAAAACTTGACATGTCTGCAAGACAGTGATTTGAAAAAATGTGCTGATTTTTTTTTTTATATACATACACTTTACATACAATATTCTTACTTTGAGATAAGGAAAAGTGAGTTTTAACGTAGACATGCATACTAAGTTCTGATAATAAGAAAGCTCCATTTTCTGATGGAATAGAACACCTGACTACAAAGTTTTTGACCAACATGTCAAAATGAAAAAATTATATAATAATAATAATATAATAATGCAATAAAATGGGAATTTAATGCAATACAATTACTATAACTTTGCTCTGACACTTAAAATATTAAGTTAATTTGTGCATTGTACAACTGAAAAAAGACACTAAAAACAGGTGAAGAAATCAAAATTTAAGAAGAAATTCACACCGTTACACTTTACGCATCCAACACTGAGTATTCAAATCTCACTCCACGGAGTTACTCCCTTCACAGTACTGATGACAATGGAACCTGAAGAACTCAGTCTGTCTTGCACCCAGCACAATCTAGATGGCTAATGAACTTTGTGAATACACACTTTTTCCTATAAAGAATACTGGATTCAAATCTGAACGCTGTTTTTCTGCAAAAGACCTAAAGGATTGGTTACTTGACAGTCATAGGATTTAGTCAAGACCTTGCTTAATTTCTTTACTAATTTAACCAGTATCGTGAAATAATAATGCACGAATAGGACATGTATTTCTTTCATTTTATTGTCAAGTTCAGAAGATCAACATTACTTACACAGGAGAGGGATTGCATTGGAAGTTAATTGTATGTTTCCTTACCACTGTAATATTTATCAATTGTATTTGTAGAGAAATGAAAGAATTTCATAGCACCTATTATATACACCAGTCCTTCCAAATAACTCACTGTATCAGAACCAAGGAGAACTAGCAGACACAGGAGTTTTCAGCCTGAGAGACTCTACTTAACACAGCACTGCACAGCAGTGTCAGCCACAGCCATGAGTATCACATTACTTAAAAAAATAAATAAATTATCATTTTCAGTGAACTAAAAGGCCAACACCATGACCAGTTATTTGAAGGTGTTTTTTGTGTTTTTGTTTGTTTGTTTGTTTTTTTGTTGTCCTAGTAATATAACAACTCTCACCTACCCTAAGATTCAGCCAGCTTCTTTTCAACCACATGTTGCTGCCAAACACGGAGTTTTATCTTAGTAAGAATACTGACTATTTCTAAGGAAATAAACCTCTGTGCTTCATTCATGGCAGTATGAGGCTACCTTTATTTCTCTTCTTTTCAGTGCTTGTAAGAGAACAGAACATAGCTTCACAGAAGAACTTTACTGAAAAGCACTTGAAGGTGTCAAAATTGTTAGCTGTCAAACTTGCAGCATGTCTGCATCGATAGCACAAATGCCACACAGACTTTGCATCAAGATAGTCTATCTAGCCTGTGCGTGAAACCTTGCATTAAACTCAAGTTTATGAAAAACATCTCTTTCACCTCTTCTCTGCCTTCCATGCTTCCCCACTGAGAAGTCAGGCCTTCAGTATTTTCCCTATTAGCTAACACAGGTGCTGTCTCCAGCTTTGAAATTCCAGCTATTCTGATATTTAAAACTGTTAGAACAACATTTAGGTTACAAGCACTTGCACACTTTAAAAACACCATATATACACTTATCTGTGAAGAGGCAGTTCGATCTCCTTAAGCTTCTCCTTAGGTATGTTATACTGCCATCTTAAAATAAAATGTGGAATTTAAAATAAAAATCTCCTGCTCTAGTCAGAGGAAAGGATGAAAAGAAAACATGTGCCCTACAATATACTCTAACATTTATTAAGCCTTAAGTCTAAAGCTTTAATATTCTGAAATAGGTGACACACCACAGTAAACTGGACTTTATAGATGACAATTGTTTTCAGCCTTCCTTCTCCCCCCCTCCCCCTTTTTTCCCCTCTAACCACACAGAAAGTCCTCTAGAGCAAGGAAAGAATGGCTGGCAACTAGAAAAGCATCCACCAGTTTCCTCTCTACCCACTATGCCATGTCTACTCTCCATCCACCCCTGCTGAAGACTCTGCAACAGCTGGGATCACAGATGAAACAACACAACTCCTCAGACTGAAGACTGCTACCAGCGCATCTCAGATGTACCCTCATCTTAACTGGAAGTCATACCTTCAGCTACAGCACAGATAATCTCTTATGGAAAGCTCTTTATGTATCTCTCTCTCTGGCACTTGACACCAGCAGGCATATGAAGAATGCAGTAAGTCTAACACAGCTGTGTTATTTCTGTCTGTCTAGCCCTTCTGCTGACTGGCTCACAAAACTTTGAATCAGCTTTAGCCTTTCAAATCTTTTCTGGCTAGCATCAAAAACTCAAAACCTTTTTTTTTTGGTGTGTGTGTGGGGGGGAATGAGGTGAAGGGGTGGGTGGGCATTGCTCGTAAAATGTAGGTGTAGTTTATGATGATAAACTAGGATACTATCTGTATGCCACCCGTTAATTCAGCCTGAAGAAAACAGAAGACGGTTTGCTTAAAACAAACAAACAAACAAACAAAAAAAAAAAAAGTATCTACTTTTCACAAAAATCCTACTCAACTAAAAACAGCCCCTACTCTGCAGAAAGTAAAACTAGAAAACGAGTGCTGGTTTTTTTTGCTTATCCTATTGTAGATAGGCAAACAGCGCTTACATGACTCCTGTTTCCTTTGAGTTAAATGGTAAATGTCTATTCACACTATAAAAAGCTAATTGTAGAACAATATTTTTCCCACAACAGTGGAAAGATCACTACTGCTCAATCCTTGTCTGAATTTCCTCAGGACTCAACAAAGTCAGCAAACAGGTGTAAATGATCTCTTATCTATGAAATGAGGAAACTATGTGAAAGAGCTTAGGCACTATTTGAACAGAAGGCTTGTTCATGATTGATAGCAAACAGATCCATCTTTAATGCTTTCAGAAGCTGAACATCTCTGTGCAACTCACAGCTTGGACAGCTCATCAGGGTCATCTAAAAATGTCATCTGCTAAGATGTTCTGTAAACTGTTAGATGCAGATATGTCGCAGATGGCATTACATACACTCCATGACCAGATTTTGTAGAGGTGTCAACTGCCTTTTAGTCAAATACAGTAACGAGATTTTATTGCTTTGTTTTAGTATGTCCCTGTGAGGATTACTTAGGCTGGCATTTACTTGTGGGATCAGTTTTCTGATGACTAAATAGTTGAAATTTAGCTGCTCTACCAGCCTGTGTTGTTAAAATAGCGTTCAGTCTTCCCCGCTTTCTCCACAGAAGAAAGGAAGGCGGCTTGCCCATACCTATTTAAAAATTAAATGCTAATTAACAGGTCATCATAACCTCCTTCTACTTCATCTTTTTCTTTACTATCTGCCGGCTATTGCCATCTTCTCCAGGTGTTTACATTTTCCATTCAACTTGTTTTGCATGACACTATGACTACCCCTCCTACTCTCTCTCACTCTTTACTTCCAAATTAGGACAAAATACGCATGCTTTGTTTAACCAATCCTGTTTAAAAGTTATTGGTTCTCGAGCTCTCACCTACACAATTCATTCAGCTAGTTTAAGGGTGTGAATTTATTACTTTTCATGAAGCTTAAGGAGAAACAGCAGTGGGGAGGACAGTTCTCTTATCCTGGGCTTGCTCAACTGCATGGAACTTCAAGCATCCCTCATACTAGTCACTCCACTTTTGCTAACTGGTTAATATGTTTTGTCTTAAATGGAATTTAAAAGATGATTACACAACATGTTGATTATGTATGCACATGCAAAAGGACTTTACATAGCTTACAAAAACCTAACACAAACACGTGACAATATGTCTTAGTACATAAAACAGAGAAAGTTAATAAACCCTATAACATTTTGTTAGCATTTTTAGAATCAGTAAGAATAAAAAGAGCTATTCTCATCCAAAAATCATTAATTTAAATTTGACCAGGTTCAAATAGGCTTACTGAAAAAACAAAAACAAAAACAAACAAAAAACCACCCACAATTGTAAATTATTAGGTGGCCTCCAGTTTGGTCCTATAATCTTGACATAGGCCTAAGTATCCACATCATGACAACTGCCCTGATTTTATATTCTGCTCTGACAGCATTACAGCACTGAATGACTGAATAAATATACTGAATAAATGGTGGATGCAGGCTCTGGATCTCAAGGCTGGAAAGAAACTACTTAGAGCCAAAAAAAAAAAAAAAAATGCACCTTCATTATCTGTCTTGAGAATAAAACTCAGCATTCAGCATCCCAAATTTCTTTTATTAAAACAGTGTTAGAAATTTCCAAACAATACATTAGCATGCTTTACTTTTCCATTCTTTCCCCGCTCTTCCTTATGTTCATCAAACAGAGTTTTATTCATAATTTTCACCCGAGATTACTGCACCATAGCAGTAAATCATCAAATCTATAATTTGTTTTTACACCATTACTCAGTTAAGTTGTATAATTCAGAGAGATGTTTCAAGTTACCATAGTAAGAGTGCCTTCTGCAAGAACATGGTTTGGGGCACACCACATCTTCACAGTAATTCAAACTATAGACAGTATTTTATGGACAACATTTTTGGAAGAAAGTGGTACTTTAATTTCACAAAAAGCAGGAAGGAATTGTGGTGTATCAAAATAAAAAGAATAAAAAATAGAAAGTTCAGCTTGGTCGGTAACTAAAGGAAGATTTCTTTTTCAAATAATTCAAGCAAATGAAGGTAGAGTTCTTTTTCAAGTAATTCAAGCAGGCCTAAGTTTGATTTGAAAGCTATATATTCTTACTCGGAATCAAATGTTTATAAATTAAACATTTAATATTTACGGAATTGAATGAAAACACTGATTTCTGGTAGGGAGGCAGTCTAGCTTAACAAATAAAAATAATAAAAAAGCAAAAACAGGATTTTTGTTTTGCTTTAATATTCTAGTATCGTATTCTTTAAAAAAAAATGCAAAAAGCACAGCAAACTTTGTTCCATGTCCCAAAAATTGAAGACTGATGAAGAAATAATCAAACCAGAACAGATGAAAGAAGACAACTGTTTTCTATGCGCTTTGCATGAAGTTTTACAATCCCTACAGAAATGAAGAAACAAAATCTGTCTTCATTAGCCGCTCCAGCAGTCAACCAGCACACTCAAAACTAGCACCATCTTCGACCTCGAGGAAGGATATTGGTTCAGCCAAACAAAAAGGATACTACACATTCAGCATCTGTTTCACATAACTGCTTGGCTGCTGAATACAAGAACCTTAAACAGTATGACTTTTGCTCTTTATTTTCCTTAAATATTGGCTGTTACTACTTTGGTGTACAAACATACATGAAGCTTTCAATTTTCAGTCACCTAAGCCTAAAAGATAATTTTAAAATAGAGTATCAAAAATTAAAAATATATTGAATTTCATGCTTTGAATAGCATGCAAGAATGGACAGTGATTTTTAAAAACAGATGCCCCTGTCTTCCTCCAGGTTTCCCTCCAGCTTTCCAAGATCAAATGCCTGGACTAGACCTTCAAACTAAAGGAAATTTAGATAACAATGCCTTAACAAATGAATAATTAAAAAAAACATAGGCTTATCTTTGATAACACCATAGGCAGAAACTACTACTTTTTACTTTCTTTTCAATCTTTCTCAACTTTATGTACTGTTGTGAAAAATGGATTTTAAATTCCAGCCCCAATGATTTATCATTTTTAAATCTAAAACAGCTAATATTTTGGTATGATGAGATTTAGACACTGCATCTTTTCATAATCAAAAGAATAAATGCTATACCTCCAAGTTCTTTTACATTCAAGATGGCATTCTGGAATGGCACTGCTTTTATGCTAAAACCTAAAAACAGAAAAGAGATTAAAATGCGATTTGTCAAAGAGGCCATTTGAAATCAATTCCATACATTTAGAAAAGACTACATTTTTCACCAAAAAACAAAACAAAACAAAACATAACGCAATATTTTGCATATGAAATTCTGTTTAAACATGATGTTTTTAAAATATCAGTTGCAGGGTGCAGGGAGACAAATCAGCAAGAGCTAAGACATTTACAAAGATACAATTTACTAGCTGGCATACATTAAACACAGCACAAAATTTCCACCCAAGTCATCTACCATTTGGTAAGGAGATAGAATGAAATACATTTTTATACAATAATCTTTTAATGCAGCTGGAATTGAAGCTTAGATTTCAAATTGCCAATAACATGACGTGATTCTTGTACAATTTTTTAGGAAACGTGGAAGATAATGTGTTATTTAAATCACTTTGTCTTACGTTTAAACGTCACAGGTTTTAGTTACACTTAGAGCATTAATTCTGTCTATAAATATTATTAACAAAAAGACCCTTTTGCAGTGCTGAGTGGTATTTACTAAAGTGGTTTCAAGCACACTAGAAGTATCTGTGAACCTTCTATTAGCCTGTTATATGCTTAAATATATATATATAGTAATTGATGTTTTCTTCTACCTGGAAATTAAGACAGCCAAAAGAAAGGTAATTAGCAAGGCTTGCAGCAAACCATCAATGTACTACATCCTAAACTATAGATACATATGGACATGTACGTGTATATAAGAAAAATCACACCTGTTCTTTCAGCATAAAATATCCAGATAGACATTGAATTGATTTCCATCTATCACAAGCAGTTTCATGATTACATACCTACAAACTAAGTTAACCAGTTTTCAAGAATGTGTGTCGCTCTGGGTTCATTAGCTATCATTTAACATACACACAGAATTTGTTCTCCCAGATCAGACCAATAAGGTATTCCCGTACCCTAACTCCAACCCCAATCACTATTAGGTGCAGAACAGGAACATGCAAGAAATTCTGAAAGGGATAATTTTGAAATGGCTTGTTGTCTTAAAATAATTCCTAAACTATTCCAAAAAAACTAAGAACTGGAATGGACATGAATGGACTTGATGAGAAAATCAAAAATACAGGGTATGGTTTGAAAACCAAATGGAGAAGCTGTCACGTATTTACTGATCCTCAATATATTTTCTAATCTAGCAAAGGTTACAAATAGATATATACATTTGTTATGAACTGAGTATCCTAACTAGTTATCCTTTTGATTTGGATGCCACCCAGTTTTCTCTGGAGTCCATTTGCATTGCTCAAAGTTGCCTAACTACACAATAAGATTTTGATGCTACTATCTAGAAACATGTCAGAAACTTATTTTTAAAATGAGTTGTATTTATATTATTTCCTTTGATAGATTGATATTGCTGTTTACATTGCTGTTACTATTTCTTTCAGGGTCCAAAGTGTTAAAGTTTATTTTGCACTAATTTCAGGTGAACTCCAAAGATAAAGAGAAAAAAAGACAAATTACTCAACAATCTCGTGCTAACCTTTTGAATTAGGCATTGACATCTACTCCATACAATGAGGTGTCAGATCATTTTAGCATTCCTAATTACACCACGATAATGGATTAATTATGCATTCTTGTACCTGTTTTACTTTGTTTACTTACTGTTTTATTAAATAACCTTATGTTCTTGTAATTCAAGCAAAGACACACTGAAAACCAGTTAGGGTTGCTAAAGGATGGTCATGTAAAATTTAAGACCATGTAAGCTGTGCTTACAGCTTCAGTATAAAGCCATAAAACAAACTATTACACACAAGTTACTCGCACAACACTCACTATCTGTTCCCCCTGCAATTCAACCTTAATAAACTGCTGTAGCCACACATCCAGATTTCTTCTACCTCTGTGGTCCTAATCTGTCTTCTTTTTGAACCTGGGAGGCAGGTATTCCTTTTATCCCTTTTTCTTATTCTACAAGGTTTTTTGATTGTTTTATTTTGTCTTGGGCTTTTTTTTTGTTTGTTTTTTGCTTTTTTTTTTTCAATATTAAGTACTTCTGGTTCTTTTATATCAGCATGCATATTCAAATTTTTGCAGCTAAGAAGCCTTTTAGCTGCTGTTGTGCCTGTTTCTACACATCTTTTCAATACCACTCAAACTTTTTGTAAATAATCTGCTCTGACTACATAAACAAGTCTCTTTGCTGATCTAAAAGGAAGGATTATCACCAGAAATAATTTCCATTATGTTAGTCTTTTGTATGCCAGCATATACCACAAAGAAGAACTGACCAATTATAAGAAATTAAGTATGATGTAATTTTCAGAGCTTCACTACCCCATGCTAATTTATATTATGTTCTCTATTCTGATTGTATAACAAGACTGCTCAAAAGCCAAAACTAAAGAGAAGAAAGAAACCTTTTAATGTCTGTCTCCAGCAAACTGCTATTGTCTGTTTCATAAGGTTCTATTTTATTAGACCACAATGTCTGCTTTGACTTTTGACATATTCCAAATTGTATGCTTTCATGGATATTCCCCAATGTACAGCCGAACATGGAGAGTAAAGTTGGGTTAGCTTCAAAACAATACATTATTTATCTTCAAAAGCAAGATTAAACTGAAGTTCTCTACTGCCATTGCTGTGTGTTTCAGAAATTAACTTTTGGCAACACCAAAAGCACACGCCATGGCATAAAGGCAGCATCCTACCTGTGGTAGACACTATATTCTCTGGGCTTTCACTGCAAAGTTGTGACAGAAGACTTGTCTTGCCGGAACCAGTGAGGCCTATGCAAACCAAGTCGTATTCAGGTCGTGGTGGTGGTGGTCCCTTGCAGCAAAGTGCTCTAAAACACTGCCAGGAAGAAACACAAGAGGAAGAAATTACTTCTTTTTTTTGCAAATATTTATTGAACAAGATTTTAAAATCAGATTTATAAGTTGAAAGGTGCTAGACAGAAGCAAAATATTAGTCTAACCTACTGTTTTGGCAAAATCAGCAGTTAATAGAGTGAGATCAGCTCAACTAAAATCTAGAACAGCTTTACAACAAAATTTAAATATACCTGTTAACTTTTCACCTAAACCTCATGGAGCTGGATTGAAGAAAGTGACTTGAATTTCTTGAATAGCATGAACAGTGCACATACAGTGAAATGTATGAGCTCTACTTTACTCTGCAGTCGGGTATTCATGAGTTTGCTTCCAGAAGGAAAACTGGTAGAAAACGCCTGTGCCAACTTAATGCAGTACCTGCTGTGAACATCAAAGCAGCTTCTGAACAGCTGCTGACCAGGCTTACCCTGTTGTCACAAGAAAGAATCAGAGAGCTTTGCTTCACTGATTTCCTTCCTGGGCTTGCTTTGTCATGTGCATAGGAGTAAAGTACTTGTCCTACCCAACAATTTCAGCTGTTAAAGAGTATAGCTTGCAAGAAATGTATTTTGCTGGACATAGTTCTGGCCATAAAAATGCAGATCTCTCACTGTTCCCTGGAGAAGTGAATTAATCACAACAAAGAATATAAATCACTTATGTAAAGCCTACTTTAGAGTTCTGCTCACGTCTCTTAAATAATATTGCCAAAATAGGCCAGACCCATCCAACAGGTCCCTTAAGCCCTTAGTAAGGCTCATTAGACCCTTCTTTATACATTATATGGAAAACTTTTACATAAAAAACTAAAATCATACCATTGTGGGATAGCTAGCAATTCTGTATTTAAGGTGTAAGTCCAAGATACGTATTTTGGGGTGGAGAGGATGTAAGTACTTTTCCCCAGTATCTGCTACCTTCACATAAGAATACATCTGCTGTAACAAGTACCAGAAAATGTGTCTGTGCAGCCATTCCTTCTCTCTCTCATGCCTTTTGTCTTTACATAGTCCTAGCTTTTGAACCTCCAGCAACAGATATCTGAGACTCCACAACTATACCAAGAGTGCAGCTGATTACTAGATTTAATTCATTTTTACCATCTTAACCACAACTAATCACAGCACTGGGTAAATAAGCTCAGTCTTTACAAACACATTCTAGTACTTGTCTATGTGACTACCCATCCCCTTTCATTGATGACAACTGCAGGAAACAAGAAACTGAAGAGAAGTTAGTAAGACACTGCAGCAAATAGCAGGTTCTGGGACTATGAGCAGACCATCTAAAGATAGCGTGATTATGAAAAGATAGTTCATTATGACTACGGAAGTTTTATTGGTTTCCTTCTGCATAGATGTTAAATTATTCTATTTACACGTGTATTGTAGCCATACCAGCAGCACGATTGAGGCTTTTTTTTCCAAGAGAATTCTTAATGTGCAATGTCTCACATTTTAATGGATACTTGTAATAATATATTTTAATTTTGTAAACTTGTTCTACAGTGTTCCTGCTCAAGTTCAATGAACAACTCTACCACTGAAAACATCACTATACAAACAGAGTGGTAACTGCAGTCCTGTTTTCTCAGCAGCTTAAAGTTACATGGCCCTAAACAAAACCAGGGATATCCAGTAGAGACTAAGCCTCCATGCTTACCACTTTGGAAGCTGCATCCAGCAGCTCCACAAGAACTGTGGAAGAAGAGAAAATTCAGTGGTCACAGAACAAGAAATAAAACTACATCCTACGTTCTATTTTTGGTTATGAACAGGAAGTGCATCTTGAGATATTTCATTAAGCGTGGACTAAAGCTGCGCTAGTATTTAAGATGTCATATATTACACTTCAGTCAGAAATGCACAGTGTTGCAAGGAATGTGTGTAAGGTGTAAAGAAGCCATTCCCAAAACCCAAAGCACAAACATATAAACAATATTTAGAGTTGTTCAATCCACTATTAACTCTCAGTCATTTCCAAAACCAAGGTGCTCCATTTGAATAATCCAAAGGATGTAAGAGAAATGCGAATAAACAGTCTAACTGGTCTTCAGATACTTGTCATATAGGAACTGCAGTTCTCTTTCATAAATACACAAACCTGGTATGTTCAACAACTATAGCTACTGGATGGGAGAAGAAACAAGAAAAGAGAGGTAAGAGTTAATTGTTTCTGGAGAAAAAAGAAAAAAAAAAAAAAAGGAAAGAGTGGATTTGAAAGTACTTAAAATAGAACAATACAGTATCTTGCAAAAATGTATGTGTTTAGCCAGTTTTGGAAAAAAGCATCTATTAACCCAGGAAACTGGGAGCAATTAGGTGCTGCAGTCTGCAGGAAAATGTACAATATTCAGTCCCACTGTTACTTTCATTTTACTAGCGTGTGTGCACATGCTGCGCGCGCAAGTTTAATGATATATAAGAGGTAAGGGTAGAAGTTAGCCAGTCTTCCTCTTGCTTAGGGATTTCTATCCCAACCGGATTATTCCAGTTTCAGGTCGATCAGCATTTGAGCTGACAATCCTAGACAGTGGCCCTTTAAAGCCCCACAGAGGTTTCTTCTGGGAAAAGCATTAAATATTGCATCTATAGCAGGGGTGGCCAAACCCTTCTGACATATGTGCCGCTCAGAGATTGAAGCTTTGGGCAGCAAACATTCCTGAATTACTATTCTCTCCAACACATTACACTGCCTCCGGTCATTGAGTCTGTCTTCGCCTACTCATTGTACTTCTCGTTTCACTCTCCATTTTGGGGTGAAATACTCTATTATTTCTGTTTTGTTCTGGACCCATCTCCTGTCTGTTTCTTTTGTTGCCGCTATTTAATAGGGACAAACAGAAGCAAGGGATTTCATGCTTAGTTGGTTAAACACACTCATAATCACACAAAAATACTCTTAAGTTAGTGCAACATATAATGCTAACAAACCAAGCGTCCAGAGTTCTTGAAATCCAGAATTAAGGCTGTAAAGCTCAACCATAATTCTGCTCTGCTCCCCTCCTCCTCTTGCCTATACTTACGAATATAGCCTCTCTTCACTTTTTATTTTTCAATTAAGACATTGTTGAACAAATAGACTCTTAGTACCCAGCATGCATTTCTATCCAGAGGACTGGTTAATCATCTGAAGTTGCTGACAAAATACCAAGGAGAAAAAGAAAATGTAAAGCTTACACATATTAAGCTCCATAATTCTGATATTGTACAAGACCACATAAGCACAAACGAATCTCAAACCTTAAAAAGATAATATAAAAGATAGGATGAAAAAAGTAGATAACTACAATACTAAAGATAGGAAACAACTGGACAAAGCAGCAGAGTAATTGTATGCAAATAATGAAACGTTCAAGACACTTGAATGAAGTTATGCACAGCTAGGAGAGAGGAAAAGGGATATATAATACACTACATTTAAACTGCATGAATACATATGTAGTTAAACAGTGCTAGGTTAAAGATTGGACTCAGTAATATTAGAGGCCTTTTTCAACCTAAATGATTCAATGATTCTATGAATGCCTTGGTGTTAAAACAGTACACTGGGATCTGTGCATTTGACTATGTCAGTTGCAGCTGTAGACACTTCAGTTTCCATACTGCTGCACAGGTGGTATTAACTACTGGGGGGAGAAAAATGATGGGAAGAGGAAAAAGCTACCTATTTTAAGGCACACAACCAGTGAAAATGTTTTTGTGTTTTTTAATCAACAGAATAAGGTCCGTCTTCATCATGTACATCGTTATGTGCAATGATGAGGGCAAAACCGACCAGGTCACTATTCATTTGTGGCTACCACCAGAAATTAATACTCACATAGCCACTGCCATCCAGAAGTGATCTTCAGCACAGATAAAAATACTGAAATTGTAATCAGTAGCCTTCTTTGATAGACCACAACCTGATTTAACAATCACCACTATGCTCAGGCTCCTCCACCACAGTATGGACTAATGATCCAAATTCAGCAGAGGGACCTCAGCTCAAAACCTACTGACAAAGTAGATCCTATTGTTTAACCTGCCTAATCTTCATGTGCACGTGGTAAGCTCACTGGCTGAAACCAAAGGAGAGTCCCACTTCACGGCCTAAACACAATTTCAATTTTATATTGGCTTATTGCCACAGAAAGGCAGACAAGTATATGGCAATATAGACAAGGTAACATAAACCAGGACAAATTATCAAAAAAAAGCAAGGCAATTTCATAGAACAAACATAGTCCTAGTAGCATCCTACATTACAGAAATGTTGCAGGACCATAAAATAGCAACAAACTGCTTGGAGGGGAAGCTCGACTTCTTCCCTCAGACCAATAAGAAAGAAATACATTTGGGTTCATTCACTGAAATTATTCAACATCCACTGTCCAACACTTCACATTATTTCAGAGGAACTACAGTCCTAGATTCTCAAAAAAAGCAACCACATTTCAGAACCCTTTCAATACCTATATGCTATATGCAGTCACCTGCTGAACTAGACATAAGGCTTAAGTACCAAAACCATACAAATGATGTAGCTCTATTCTTCAAAATGTTTGACAACTCTGCTACCAGCAGAGGAGGCTTGTAGCAAATTAGGTCAAGAAAAATGAACTGGATGGCTTCTAACAAGCCAGATATGACAGTGCTATTCAGAGTACATCATTTCAAAGACTTCCTGGTCACAATGCAATCTTCCTTTGGGTGAAGATGATAAAATCACAGTTGGTGGAATTCTGTCCAAAACATAGAACTTACTGATTTCTCAAGCAAATAAAGTCCTCACTAGTTTAAGGATAAAATAAAGACTTCAAGTCAATTATTTTTGACGATCAAGATCCTCATTCCACATTGCACAAGCATGAAGGACAGTATCTTTGCATTTGGGCAGAAGGTACAGGATCTTTCGCCCTTATCTTCCAGTGAGAGGGACTGCTCCAGGATAAAGGCTTCATCTAGAATCACAGAATCACAGAATTTCTAGGTTGGA